CTTTTTCTCCCCCCCCCCCCCCCATATCTCTATAGGTTGAACTTGATGGACATGTGTCTTTTTTTCAACCCGACTACTATGTAACTATGCCACCAATGCAAGGACAACTTTCCTATGTCTAAAAAGATACCAATAAATCACTCACCCAGTACACAAAAGGTTTAGCACAAGCAGGTACCTTAAATGCTGCTGTAATGTAGATTTCCTACATCTGGCCAGCCCGTCCAGTGCCGCCTTCGCTCTGCAAGCATCAGCTTTCCAGACAATTGCCTGCCACATGCAGAGTCTGCAGATGGGGAAAATACAAAGAAGATAATGGGTACGGCCAATGAAGGCGCCGAATATGACGACAGGGACTACCATTACCTTCTATCGTGTTTCCCTGTCTGCAGACTGCACAAGTGGTGAACTGTTAATAACTTGAGTCCTAGGTGCCATTTTAAAATTCTGTAATTGCAGTTCTTTCACCACCATTACTTACTGCACATGGGTGCAGTTGGTTCAATGCTAGAACCTCAGTGACAGATGAGCTTGAACATTAAGCCCAGGAGTTAAACATTGATCAGCTCCTGGGCTTCCGATCCTGCAGCAAAGTGCTCTAGAAAAGTGTTGCAGCAAAGCATTAACAATATCTTTTCATATGATGGCGCAATAAGAAATAAAAACAATTTATATGGGATCTACTGAGAGCTCTGGGGGCCATCTTGGCGAACGGTAGAAGTTAGTGAGCTGTACCCTGCATTCCCCCTGGAGCAGCAGATCACTGCAATTGTAATCTATACTTGGTGTGAGGAATAGCTCACCATAATAAATGGCCTGTTGCTGTAGAACTTTATTAGAAGTTCTCCCTCATGTGACCCACTGAATCCAAAATTAAAGTGTAAAAATTAAAAAAGAAAGGGCATAAATAAATACAAAGCTAACATCTCCTTCACAGTTAGCACATCAAATAACATCTGCATTTATTACAAGAATGTCCAAAACAAGTGTAAGCGTATTCAACTGCAAACATGCAAAAATTGCACGGTTCTACTAAAATGCAAGGAGGGTGGGCAGGGTAATGGTAACATACTTAACCCTGTCTGTACTGTTCTGGCCGATCTCAATATCAATTGTAAACTAGATGTGTACACTGTCTACCCTAACAAAGGGTAAAAGGTGAAGAAGCATTGTATTGAGAAAGCTCATACTGTCCCTAGCTTTTCTATGGAGACAGAGGTGCCTTTTACTTTTTACCTGAAATTGAGAGAGAAGCTTGCAAAGGCCAGCTACATATATACAGTATTAATGTTAGGCGTGCTATGTGAATAGGAACATATAAAACATACTTGGAGGGGGGGGTCTGAAATTTTACTGCAAAAATGTAAATACACAGATTGGTAAGCTGCAATGTTTTACATTTTTGCTTTTAGGTTTACACTCTTTAAAGCCCCTTTCCACCTTTTTAGAGGTATTTGTAAGAAAAAAAAACATGCCAACAATGTACACCGAGTAGACATAAAGCAGGCAAATGCAGTTGTTGTATATGAACACAGAAACTTATTTTTTGTTAGCTTTCCTCTTTTTCTCCATGAAAATGGCTGCCTCTGTGCTCAGAAAGCAATCTGTGTATATTACAACTGAGCTCTCCAACCCCCATTCATTAGTATTCTTAGTGGCAGCCACCCAAGGACAGTGTATTGTGTGTAAAGGCAGAGCTGGTGTGCAGTGATCGTGTTACACAGAATCACAGGGAAGGGGGACAGCTGTTTACAGCCTGCTTAACAATTCGACCCTTTTGTCAGACTGAATTTTGGGTCGAGAAAATGTTTAATTTGTAGGATTCTGGACTAATATAAAGTTCATTAAAAAAATGAAGAAAGCCTGAAATGTGAGTCATGAAAATGTACACACACACATATACACATCACTGCACCTCTACATTACCACAATATAGGTTAATCACTTACAAAGATGGAAAAGGATTTTAAGGTTACAATAACCATTTATACAAGCACATTATTTTTTCTTTTGCAGTGTAGCAAAAGGGAAAACAAGCTCCCTGAAACTTAAAGGTGAACGTTATGCTATGTTATGTATAAGCTGCATGTACGTGGCATCATTTTATGCATGTGGACAGGCGATCTTGTCAATTATATTTTAGTGTTTAAAATTAAAAAAATGTGCTTGCCCTATGGGGGGAAAAAAGGGTCAACTTTGTCAGAAATTAAGCAAGGAAAAGTTGGCCTACAAAATGGGTTCTTTTACTTTCAATAACTTCACCTGCACATTTTCCTCGGTGACTTTAATTTCTGCAGTGTAAACATAATCAACAAGTAACTTCAAGGTCCATCCATCCACTTCTTTTATGCGGACCCTCTTTGCTCGGCTTTCACTCATCTCACCTGGAACAGATAAAACACAGACTACTTACTCATTTTCATAAGGTAGTCATTTCAACAAGAACAATAATGATTTTAAGAAAAGTACAAACTAAAATAAAGCATAGAGAAGAAGACAGAATTGTCTACCAACAGCATTGTTATTACAACAGGAGTTTATAGCCCCATTAATAAGCCACATACAGGTATTCCTCACTTAACGATCAAGTTCCGTTCCTACGACCAGGACGTTAAACGAATTGGTCGTTAAGCGAGGAACTGTATACAGTACTGTACTGCAGTAAGGTGCCCATACACTGTACGATTATCGTACGAGAATCGCAGGAAATCCCGCGATCGTATGATAATCGCAAAGTGTATGGAAGGCGTGCGACCGTTTCTACTGTAAGGTCGCACGTCTTCCGTCAAACAAGCAGGCTTGAAACCCCGCCGAGAATCGTATGATTCTCGGCGGGTTAGTGGCCTGCTTGTTCGACAACTGCCGAAAGGGCTGGTGTGCACGTGCACACCGGCGCCCGTTTGCAGTCATCGGGAGCCCGCCCCTCATTGCAGTCATCGCAAGCCCACAAGAATGTCATGCTATAAGACTAGTAAGAGATATACTGGTTCTAAGAGGCCCCTTTCCCACATGCTTTCAGGAGAGGATCAGGAGAGGATCCATGCACGGATCCTCTCCTGGTCACAGCAGTATTAAGTGGATGTCACCTATGTGACATCCGTGTCTGTACAGTTTTTCCTCCACCTTGCGATGGGGGAAAAAAACTGTAATTGTCCAACCCTGTCTAAGGTGGTCCTTAGACAGGAACTGCAGCGTGTTTCTGTCTGGCTAGATAACATTGGATTGAAAAAAGTGACATTTTTGAAGTGTGGCCATTCATTTTCCTCCTTACACACACAAATGGCGCATGAACAAGCTCTTTTGGCCTGGCACCTGGTTTTCCAACAATTCACAGAGTCCTGGTCACACTAGAGAAGCACTGCCCTACATCATACTTACATAGAGCAAACAAAAAAGGTAATTTCCAGATGAGCAGATTTATTTATTTTTTTCCTTGTTCAGACAAGCCTAGCCATGGCACACTAAAAGGAAGAGGAGAAAGGGCCATACATGTAAAGAAAAAGTCCCTTAATGTGTGGATGTACACTATATTGCCAAAAGTATTGGGACGCCTGCCTTTACACGCACATGAACTTTAATGGCATCCCAGTCATAGTCCGTAGGGTTCAATGTTGAGTTGGCCCACCCTTTGCAGCTATAACAGCTTCAACTCTTCTGGGAATGTTGTGTCTATGGGAATGTTTGACCATTCTTCCAGAAGCGCATATGTAAGGTCAGGTACTGATGTTGATAGATGAAAGTAGTCACTCGCACTCCATGATATTAAAGTCAATGCTGTTTATTGACTGAGCTAACACACATCTCCTTAGCGACGTTTCGAGACCATGCGGTTCCGTCCTCAGGCAAGCAGAGAGTGAGTCAAGCAACAAAATCAAACAAATACAGGTGAAACAAAATCAAACCACCAATCACAATGCAGTTAATACCTCCTCCTCTGATGTCCTAACGACGTGATTCACACCATGCTGCCCAGGTGCAATTAGCTATATGCTGAACACATGATACAGATGCATACTGGTAAAATACCTTGTCCGTAGTGGTGATCTTGCATCGCCCAAGATCTACCTGCTCTTTTTGGGCAATGCAAGATCCGTGGAATACCCATAAAAGTTGCCCTATTTCTCAGAAACAGTTACACATATTGTACAATGTTATCAGGGCTAGGCTTCTATTGAATACAAACTATGTATGATGGAGTTTTAATACAGTTTTTGTTGTGCTATAAAAGGCAGGATCCTCAAACGTTGTTAGCAAGAGCCACATTTAAATGAGAGATTTTACATACGAGTAGTTGACAAAGCAATAAACATAACCAAACCTTGGCAGCATAATGATCTAAGTGTATTGTGACGCAGGTGTTTAGATATACAGGTACTACAATGGAAAGATGCCCTAAGCATTATTCAAATGGAATGTGTGAAGGTATGTTCTTCAAGGCTGCTGGTCGGGGATCACTGCTGTATGAGCAATGTTGTACAATGTATGGCAAGACACAAAAATCAGCTATCCTAAAGCCAAAGTAATGCTTCCACCTGCCTATTAGTATTTTTAAACAGACATCCATACAGTGTTGCTAGGGAGATGTTAGAATAGCACGAAGCAAGAAACAAGCAGATGACTTGAAGGAAGTAAACTGACAACAGATGGACAAGTGTCTCTGCAAATGCATGATCAGATGTTAGGTGTCTGCCTTTTACAGCTGTCACAAATGATTAAAAGCTTGGCGAACAGTTTCAGACCCATAAACACTACTGTGACATCAGGATACAGTGCATTCTGCTCTACAAGCATCGTGCAGAATGTGACTAGGGGAGCAGATAATGTGCATGTTAAGAAGAACAGAGTCTGAACCAGTCACAATTCATCATCCACTAAATCTGATGACAACCCCTAGTAAACCGCGTTCAAGTCACGTATAAAAAATCGGTAAACTGTTCTAAAGCAAAACACTTTTAGCACAGAATTCAAAGCAAACAAGTGTTTGTGACATTGATTACTTGTCCAAGGACTGAAGCGGGGGCCCGCTCTACTTGTCCCTCATGACAATCTACTTGTCCTGTTACTAAAAAAATATTTGAACCAAAACCGTATTTAGCAGTGCCAAGAAGCACTTCTCATTGGTCAGCACCGTCAGGGAAGGACCGTTCGCTGAAAGGCAAGTAAAGCAGTGAGGGAGGGGGGCCAGATTTGTGCGGGTATTTCCATTTTCACAAATTACTCGGGAAAGTGAATTTATCCTTTAGGGCTGGTGTAGACTTGGGCAATCGAGTGCGGTTGCATACAGCGGTTGCCGTGCGGCCCCATTGATTTCAATGGGGTTACATCCATGTGGCAATCGCAACACGCACCGTGCAGTGTTTTCAACCGTGGTCGTGCGGTACTGTGGCGGGAAACAGCGCAATCTGCCTGGCGCAACTTGGATGCCATTAGAAAATAATGGAACCGCCAGCACGATTGGAGCTGGTGTGGGATTTCCTGCCCACCTGGCCATCCATGCGGTTTTGTGCACGGTTACAGTGCGGTCACGGATTGCCCAGGTGTGAACCTGGCCTTAATGCACATTGTGCGTGTTAGGGAGCACTGAGAGCGCTTCGGCCACCACAAAATCGCACACACTGGAATGGGGGCACCACTCTGCTCACACACTGCCCTATGCATGCGTTTATTCACATGTAGATGGTGGGGACAGGGGGGTTGGTTTAAAAAAAAAAAAATTACTTTCTTTTTTTTACTTTGTAAAATTTGTATTTATCTTATTAATCATCATTTAATTTTTCATTTATTTTATAATTTTTTTCCACTTAACTTTATTCCTGCGCACAGGGGCTAACAAGCCCATGTGTGATAGCATTTGGAGGTGACAGGCTCTCTTTATTGAGGCGGAGGGCGGTGACCGGGGAGAGAGGTGGTGTATGGGGAGGGGAGAGGGAGTGACAATCAGGCTGCTTACAAGTGATCTTGAGCGGCTGTACAGCCTCTCAAGAACACTTATACAAAAGGGCTCCCCCTCTACATTTAGCCCTGCTGCTTGCCCAAAACAGGGCTAAAATGTACACAAAAACAACTCGCCCGGTACATGTAGTGCCGGGCGTCAGGCGATTGGAATTCCACATCCCTGCTGTACATAAACAACATGTCCATACCTACTCCTGCTTGTCACCTTAAAGTCCATTTGCACCTTTGTAAGTGATTTGCATTTATTGTGGTAATGAAGGTGCAGTGATGATATACATTTTCATGACTCACAGTGCAGGCTTTGTTCATTTGTTTTTATGAAGGTTTTATTAGGCCTGAAACCTAAAAATTAAAAAATGTCTTCACAGGAAATTTAGTCAGACACCAGAGTGTCAGACTGTAATCAGCTATACCAGGACCACAAATACAGAACTAGCACACTGCCAAAGACGTGGATGGCCATTTCATTTTGTAGACAGATTCTGGCATTTTAGTTTGACCCCATGTGACTTTGATCTACATATAGTAATGGTGACTCTTTGGTAATAAACGGCAATAGAGTAAAACATTTACCGAATCCAATAACTAAAACAGAACCACAGTGGCAATTCTAATACAACAGAATGGTGCAATATTCAATACTTAACTGATGTTTATTCTACTAGTGTGAGTAGCGGCCCATTCATAAGATTAATAAGGAGATTTGAGTTTCTATATGAAGCTATTTGTATTCACTATTTCTGAAGCTTCGCACAAACATTAATCAGATCACCACAACGGAGGGATGACAAACATTCACAAGGAAAGACATTGGTAAAAACTGTACCACTAAAAACAAAGGTGCAGGACTCCCTTTAGGTACAGCTAAGGGCAGAGATGTAAACAGACACTGTCATAGACGGGCCTATTTATTAACATAAGTAAATAACCTTAAATGCGGACCACAAGCTGCATTTTTTCTCTTCTGCTATACGGACTTTCCTTAATAAAACCTTCGTATTAAGCTTGGCATTGTATGGCAACAGGAGAGAAAAGACACCTATAAGAAGCTGCCAGGGACAGCTTTAAAGTGGACCCGTAGCTCTGATGTATACAAGCAAAGCACAGATTATTATTATAATAAAAGGATTTATATAGCGCCAACAGTTTGCACAGCGCTTTACAATATAAGGAAGACATTACAATCACAATACAATTCAAGACAAGATGGTAAGGAGGGCCCTGCCCGTGAGGGCTTACAATCTAAAAGGGAGGGGCAAGTGATACATGAGGCGGTAGATTCACTTTAATGCACCAAAATGTAGCAAATTGAAAACTTTATGAATAGCAAAAACCTATTTTTTGTTGTGTATTGGAATAGGGAATGGTTAAAACCTCTCCTAGTTTAATTTTCTGCTGTCTGCGTCTCATTGGACATATTTCACTTCCTGTCCCACAGAGGACACAGGAAGTTACAGAAGAATCTCCCAAATAGAGGGTAATACCCCCTAAAGCTGGCCATACACCAGCAGAATTGTGTTAAAAAAAAAAAATTGTTTTTCACAACATTCGTTTAATTTGATAATAGTTAATAAGGTCAAGTCGACAATCTTTCGACTGTAGTGACAAAAAAAAAATTTGAGGGTGCTGGATAGAAAATATGTCTAGAAGGAACAACATTCAAACAGTGAATGTGGTTTTACTACAGGATATAACAGAATTAGATCAGGATGAAAAAAAGACAATTCTCTGCTTTGATCTCTGACATAGAAATCCGGTCTTGCAAAGAAAATTACAAAATCGTAAGGCTAAGGGCCCATCCACTCAATGTCCGGATCATCTCCAGACCAGACCGTTTCGGGACCCAAAATGAATCCCTATGCTATTTCTGGCCTTTGTTCACACCAGCGCAGTCCGTTCCAGACCAGAAAAATACTGCTAGTCTTATTTTGTCTGGTCTGGAATGCACTGGAGAGCACTTGTAAGACCATTTTAAGCTAAAAAAAAATAATACATTTAAAAAAAAATAATGTCCAAACTCGGCAAAACGCAATGCACTGTGTTCCAGATCTGGTCCGAAAAATAGTGCGAACCTACCCTAAAACTGATGTAAATGGAATACTACTCAAATCTTGTGCAGCGTGCCAACTCTTCTAATAAGGACATTCCCTTACTGTGTACAACGGTTATGCAAAAAGTGGTGATACGTGATGACAATGCCTGTAATAAAGAAGCACAGAAGACGGAGATGGGAGGTGTATCTGGAGGAGCCTAGATTTTTCCCTACACATTCATCCTGCAGCCAGCAATGAAAAGTAAACACTGACTGACACCACACCCTGGTTTGTTCAGCAGAGGAAGCCAGAATTAGCCGTCATAGCAAGAGGAAAAAAAAAAAAAACTTAAAAGCAAAAACCAATCCAAACCTAAAAACTGGATTACCACGACTGCAAATCCAGTAAAATGTAAGACTTTGAGTCTGTAGTCACACTAAACTCAGGAGTTACATCTTTGGGCCCCATTTACACCAGATCCAGATCATCCTGAGACCAGGCCAGAATGTTTCCGGACCCAAAATGCATCCTAATGTATCCCTATGCTATTTCTGGCCTCTGTTTACACCAGCACAGTCTGTTCCAGACCAGACCAAATACTGCAGGTCTATTTGTCTGCTCTTGAATGCACTGAAACACACCTGAAAGCCCAGTTTAAGCTAAAACAAACTCCGAAACACGGCAAAATCAAAAAGGTAAAATCGTGGTAAAAACAAACAATGCACTGCATTCCCTATCTGGTCCGGAAAATGTTGTGAACCGGCCCTTAAAAATGTTTTCAAGTACCTTAACTATTAACAAAAATGTATCTTATTTGCATATTGCTTGGCTGTAGATCCTCAAATCATCTCTGAATTGGTACTGACACTGTCCTTCCTTCTGGAGGGGGGCTACTTGTGTTCCACATGGTCCTTGTGTGTGTTGTAAAGTAGTCACCACTCCAAGCTCACTCCCGTGATGGACTACAATCTCATGTTTAGTTTAATTTGTATTGAGATTGTAGTCCATCACAGGCGTGAGCTTGGAGCGATGTCTACTTTACAACACACAGGGACCATGGAGAATAAAAGTAGTCAGTCATTCTCCAGAAGGAAGGACAGTGTCAGCACCAATTCAGAGATCATTTGAGGAGCTACAGCCGAGTGATACACAAATAAGATACATTTTTGTTAATAGCTAAAGTACTTGAATGAAGTTGTAAGGTTTAACTCCTAAATTTAGTGTCACTTTAATGCTGCCAGTGATTGTGTTACTATAAACATTTATTTGGCTGTCAGCCATTTTGCAGCGACTTTCTGCTGATATTGCACTAGACTTTGTTTCTGCTCTGCTCACTGCAGTTTAAAAAGGAATAAGGCACAAGGACAGCCATTTAAACTTATGGCACATTGTGTAATCCTTTAAGTTGCCGCTTCTTACTTTTAAATACAATTACATACATATAAACACAATGTTGTAATCTGTATAACAACCTCTTAAAGACTAAGGCTCCATTCACATATAGCCTTTGCCACGAAAACACTAAAATCTTTACATCTGCACGGATTGCGCTTGTTTGCAGCTATTAGTATAGCTGCGAAAGTGCGGAATCCGCCCCTGAAATCATGCTTGGACTATTGTGCGGGACGTGCAAGTTTTGTACCACGCAATAGTCTGAACAATGGACATGAAAATGCATTGTTTAGAGCGTATACGTATGGAAAACCGCTCATGTGTGAATGGGGCCTAAAGCTGGCCATACACTGGCAGTTTACTGACTAATGCTCATGTGAAAAATCTTATCATTAAAATTGATAATGCCATCAGAGACTTTACAAATGGTATGTTGAAATTTTGCTTGATTTTAACATTTGGTTGTGGAATGAATGGAGTTTCCCGATGGAAAAATACGTTCACTGTTTTGATTTGAGAAAAATCCATCCAGTCATTACATTCATTCATTTCATGCTGCTCCTCTAATTTATTCCACCACGAAGGGCAAAAAGGATCACCAATTTAAGACCCTGTTCACACCTGGGCGGTTCGACTGCACGGATCCACCGACATGAACGATGACATACATTGCTATGGGGGCGGTTCATGCGACCGTGCGGGTCTGTGCAATCCGAGCCGCCCCCCGCCCGAACTGCTCCCTGCACTATTTTTGCTGTGCTGATCAGTGCAGTTTCCATACAGGTTTCAATGGAACCACGCTAATCAGCGCAGTTTTGGGCGTTTTTCATTGCGTTTCAGCGCTGAAACACAATGAAAAACTCCCAAAACCTCCCTTGCGAGATTAGCGCGGTAACCGTGCTGATCCGCAACCGCCCTGGTGTGAATGGGCTCTAACTCAAACAACTATTAGAAAATCATGACATTCCAAAAACAATTTTTTTATGTAAACAAAATCTACTGGTGTATGGCCAGCTTAACTCCGGGCAGCAAGAAAAAAAAAAGTGGACCTGTCACCCTTCACAGTGCGAGCGGTATTTCTTTTTAATATATATTGTATTGTTTTACAGGTGAGAAATACATAGGAAGAACATTTTGAAGGAAGGTACATTGAAAAGTTTAAAAAAACTAAAAAAACACACCTCTTATGAACAGTGGAAGAAAGGATGAGTTCCATACAGCAACTCAAAGGGTTGATTTCAGATCATTATGCAGTGTTTGGGGGAACGGTTATTCAAAACATTCTTGTTTGTTTTTTTTTAAGTTTTGGCTGTACATACACTTTAATACAACTAGGTCTTGTAGGGATTTAAAACAAAGTGCCCTTAACCTTTAGGCCTCTTTAAGCTGATGTTACTGCTTCCTCCCTCCCCATGCAGAGATTAATACTTAGGGCTTGTTCACACCAAATGCAGACCAGATCTGCATGCGTTTCTGCACACGCAGTGCAGTGGGTTGTGCCGCGTTTTTGATGCGTTCCGGGCCATTTCTGTTTTTTTTTTTAAAAACACATTCTAGGGCGTTTGCATGCGTTTTTGATGCGTTTGAGCGTTACAGAGCATGTAAAGTAGGGCTTGCTGCATTTTTTTTACATGCTCTGGAAAGGAACACTGCGGTGTGAACTAGAGCCAAAAATACCATTGGAATACATTGGACGCAGTTTTGATCCGTTCTGTAACTGCTCTGCTCCTGGAACGCGCTTAGTGTGAACTAGGCCTTACCGAGTTTCAGTGGGCCCAGCCTCGGTTGTGTGCACCTTGCGGCAAATATCCCCATTGACTTCTATGGGGCTTGTCTACATCAGTCTCCTGGAGGAGAACCACAGAAATCAATAGGGGTTAACTGTGCAGGCACAACCCAGAGAAGGGGCATATGCCAGAGGATGTCAACAAACCAAGGCTGGGCCGGACAGAACTCAGTAAGCACTCATTTCTGCCCAGGGAAGGGAGGGAGGGAGTGGTGGCCTTAGCTTCAAGGGACCTAAAGGATAAGGGCACTTTGTTTTAAAATGCACATACTATAAAGAAGGCTGATATCACATAAATTATATATTAAAGTGTTTATAAAGCCAAAACAGTTTTTATTTTATTTTTTATTATGGATATAGAGTAGGGGAAGGGTTGAAAAACCTGTCAGTTGTTTTTGCTGGGGACTGGGGGCGGGGGCATTCGCCGGTTCTTTATTTATCCTTGTGACCACCGTCACTGGCACAGAAAGTGAGGGACTATCCAAAATTTTGAGTCATCACCAGAAAGGAAATAGAGGGGTCATATTCCAAAGGGGACACTTATTGTAGTGACAACAGTTCAAAAGACTTCTCACCAGCTGATGTGTCTATGAGATTTGACGTATAAGGAATTCTCCCTAATAGGACACAGACAGCGCAAATCTAATGGGGTTTCAACCCTTCATAGCTCTATTTAAAACATAAAAGGGATAAGTTTTGACTTTAGATCATGAATACAGACATACATTGATCTGCATCTTTAATATCTGCCAGGAGGTCAGCTTTACCTAACAAACTTATAAGCGTAATCTTACTCTTGGACATATGGAAATGATATACTCAAAAATAATATGTAACCACAAGAAATTCCATACCTGTAAACATTGCATGGAAATAGGGACTGCATGCTGCCAGAACCACCTTGTGAGCAGCTATCTCCACATCTTCCGCCACTATTGTCACATCACACAGCAAATTCTGGCTGTGAAGAAAGACAAAGTTAAATAAATAAGTGTATAGCAAACAGACATCTACTAAACAAAAACCAAGTGATCCAGGGCTTCATGCCGATAACAGCTGAAATAATATGAAGGTTTCCCGAAGGCTGGGTTCACACCTAGGCGTACCGAATATGCGCGTTTGTCGCACGTTTAGTGCCGCACGTTTTTACGCGCGTTTCTGAGGGCTACCTGGCTGTATCCCAATGGATACGCGCGGCAAATACGCCCCAAAGAAGCTCCTGTACTTCTTTGGGCGTAGGGCGTTTTGCAGCGCGTTCCTATGCACTATAAAAACGCCCAGTGTGAACCATGCCCATAGGCAATCATTGGTTTTCACATGAACGTTTTACAGAGCGTAGGAACGTGCTGTAAAACGCTCAGGTGTGAACCAGGCCTTAGAGACTTGCTAGGAACTGTACAAGAACCCTTGTATGTAAACTGCTGCAGCCGTGATGTTGGTGTAACCACTTCAGGTTGCCGCTGTTCATTTACATTTTGCGGTCCTGAAGTGGGATAAATCGGGGATACTAACATGCTGTTAATATTGAATATACTGTACTTGAATCAAATTTAGGGGCGTTCTTTGCCCTTGATCCTTGCCACTGGGGATTCACCCATACCAATACCAGTATCGGTGCCGACAGAGTTTTTGGGTAAGTAATCCAAAATGCTCCAATACTTCAGTACTCTAGTACTCCACATGCTCCGACACTTAGCCCCGATATCGAAACTTCCGGTCAGAGGGAGATGGTCTCCGCCCGGCAGTGCCGCAAGGGAACACAGAGCCAGCTTCCCGGCCAATCAGGAAGCTGGGCGGCAAACGCGCATATTCGATACGCCTAGGTGTGAACCCAGCCTAAATGAAGCTCACAATAATAACCCACCATAGCAAAAGAGTCTCCCCTTCCACTAGTGTCTTTGGGAACATCTTTATTCTGTGTATCTGACCCCACATATGGGCAGAAAGTATAAATCTTCCATTAGGTGGAAATGATCCCAAGTACAAACAATTAAATATCTGCCGAGTGCGAAGACAGACCATGGTCTAGCACTGGACAAAAAAAGGCCATATAAAGCAAGCTTAACATACAAATAGGATAAAAGCAAGGGGAACCAGATAGACTCAGATTTAACAAGATACAATCAAATCAACAGCAATTCACTTACAATACTGAAACTCTATGTAAACCAGAAGCCAGCCAAGTTCAACTGTGAGGTCAACAAGAAATTACTCAAGTGCATCTGCCCTCAGGCAGCCATGTACACCTTGTTTTCAGTAAAACAATATTAATGGGAGAGCATAATGTTTTGTGTCCATAGTATTCTTCTGTGGCTCCCTGGTAGGGGGGAATGTGGCTGAATTTACATTGTACTGGTGCAGGTGCCCATGTACATGAGCCCTAATAGGATAACACGAGTTGTAGTGATGAACTTGGCCTCGGTGCAAGCCCGGTTTGCCTGTGTTCACTTAAGCTGGTTCAAAAATGTGACTTCTGCCCCCCCCCCTTTCTGGCCCAATAAATCAGTGGCAGCAGCTGTAGCAGGGGCATTCCGTGCCCCTTTGTGATGTATAGCTGCAGGGTGAAGAATGTGCTTCCCGGCAACCCGATTGGGTCGAGAGGAGGAGGTGGCAGCCACAGTTTTTAGTGGTCTTGGGCCCAGGCTCATCACTATGTGTTACCACATTGTTTTGCCCAATGAAGGGACCGCATGTGGTTTTGAAACGTTGCGACACCAAGTTTATCTAAACGTCAATAAAAGATGGACCGATGAAGTGGACCTTGGTGTGCTGGTGACCTCATTATCTCCTATGAAGCCAGCCTCATTGTTTTAAAAGTAAACATTTACAGCAGGACAAGGGATTACCAGAGCACTATCATTTAGCTAAAGAGCCAGCTCAGGAAACATAGCTCCCTTTAGATACCGCCTTTTACGGGAGAGCCAAGATTTAGCCATCTGATCAGAAATGACTAAAAAATCGGCCTCACTTGTCCAGTTTGTATATTTTAGCTTAATCAAAAGATTTTTCAAGTTTTTTGTTTTTGTTTAGCAATTAGCAGGGAAAGCGAACAATGAAATAAATCCACAGCTCTACCTGTTGGATGAAGAAAAAGGCTAGGCAACATTCACATGCAATATGTTTAGTCAGTCACGAAGGGGTTAATCGGCTTCCGATTGGTTGGCCCTGTTCACGGCTCCACACACGCTGCGTGCCACACCTCCCCCCACCTCACGCTCGCCGCTGCCAGACCCGCATCCATGCTCCACACACCGCACCTCCTCCCCGCCTCATGCTCACAGCCCGCCCAAATATCTCAGAAGCAAGTTGCTGGAAGACTGCTCAGGTATGCCTGCACTTTCCCACACATGCTGCACTATAATGTATTGATGGGATTTGTATTCCTCTATAGCTGATGGTACATTGTGCTGTATATTATACATAGGAATATGGGAATACAAATCCCAGCAATACATTATACACTGAATGCTGGGATGTGTTGTACTCCTCTATAGCTGATGGTGTTCTGCATTGCGCTGTATAGAGGACTACAAATCAAGGAATAATACATTATACAGCGCAATGCAGAATACCAGCAGCTATAGAGGAGTACAACAAATCCCAGCAATAATACATTATGCCGTGGTGCAATGCAGAATACCGCCAGCTATAATGTACTATTGCTGGGATTTGTTGTATTCCTCTATAGCTGGTGGTATTCTGCATTGTGCTGTATAATGTACTATTGATGGGTTTTGTAGTCCTCTATAGCCGGTGCCATTCTGCATTCATTGCTGTATAAATTTTACACTATTCATTTCACTATATTGCACACCACACTTTTCTTTTTTACTTCCACCGCTCCAAGCTTGCTCCTGTGACTGACTGCAATCTCAGTACAAACTAATTAATCCCCTCACTGGAGCCATCTTTTCTAATTTTTTTTAAATCAGATTAATCGAACTTAATAATCGGCTAACTAATCGATTTTGAAAAAAAATCGTTAGCTGCAGCTCTATATGTCATATTTAAAAAAACTATGACTTTGTCTGGTCATCTTGACTATAATTTATTAAAAAAATACATACAATGGCACTTTTTAGGAGGGAAATGCTATGAGCCGAGATACCTCTGTATTTCTAAATTAAAGAAGAACGAGAGGATAAACTTTTTCTTAACCCATGCAGTGGGGCCACACCCACACGGCAAGCGTTAAATGCTCGTTTTGGGTCTAGCTTCAAAAATAACAAACTTATACTCACCGGAAGCTCAGAGCTGGCCAGCTGTCACAGCGCTCCCTCCAGCCTGTCTCCCCCTCCCTACAGCATTGGAATCTTCCTCAGCGTCCCCACGTCTATGCACTAGATATAGAACATGATGATTTACGGTACCTTAGACCGCTGCAGAGGAAGGGGAGAGACGCTGGAAGGATCGGTCTAAGAGAAAGCCAGCTGGGAGCATCGGGCGCGTATATCTTTTGTTTTTAGCACAAACGAGTAGTTAACCCTTTCAGTGGGGCTACCCATTACAAAGAGAATTAATCAGTTCTAGATTTATCTTCCAGCCAGATAAGCCAGGCATACAGTATGTGTGCCATATCATTATTAGGTCTCTTTAAGTGGATGTAAACCACCATGTTATATCCATTTTAGAAGTGCAAAAATAATCTGTTGATTTTGCCAGAAATCTTGTGAGCTGCTAACTTCCTGTGCTCCCTCCATCTGTGCACGAGGAGGTGTTGTCATTTCAAAGGGGAAAGTAAGAGCACACATTATTTCTGCCATAGCAACAGTTATTTTCTGTACTTGCAGCATGTTTAAAGGGATGAAACATGATGGAAATGCGCATGCATTGCAGTGATGTACTAAATACAATGAAGGGAATTTATTAAAACTGGAGCAGACAAAATCTGGAGCAGCTGTGTACGGCGACCAATCAACTTCTATCTTTTATTTTCAGATCTTAACTGAACAAACTGATGAGAAGCTGATTGGTTGCCCTGGGCAACTGCTCCAGTTTTGATAAATGCCCCTCAGTACGCTTTGTTTTTTATTTTGCCTTGACAAACTTTACCATGCAAGGCAAACATGGTTTCACCAGTAGCTTTGGCTGCACTGCCACCATCAATCCATCTTCAATTAGGCAGCTGCATATATCATTTAGGGCCTCGTTCACACAACTCTTTCCCTGGATACACTACATACTATACTCGTTAGGACCATCTAGGGGAAGTAGTACCGTGCAGAAGTTTTAAAAAGGAAGAGCTTAGTGTAGAAAGTACTGCAGGGCCTCTTGCTAGAGCAGGGGTGGGCAACTCTGGCCCTCCAGCTGTTGTGAACTACAAGTTCCATGAGGCATTGCGAGGCTGAGAGTTAAAGTCCAGAGGCAAAATGCACAATGGGATTTGTAGTTAAAGCACAGCTGGGGGGCTGGAGTTGCTCACCCCCCACATCCTTATGGGATGATGAGATCACAGTATGAAGCTTCGGGGTTGGGATGTTTATGAGAACCTCGCTGACAGATTAAATCTAATGCAATCGTTCATTTGATTTGCACATTGATTATGTCACCTAGCGTACAGAAGCGGTATCTCAAAAGCAGGAAATAATCAAGGTTGCAAATCAAATCACTGGAATGTGCACAATGCTTCAATGTATGGCTGGGCAAAATAAAATAATATTCAGCACAGCTCCGCAATACATGCACATTTCCTCATACATTACAAGTACAAATAAAAGTATCTGTTCACCTCCCACAAATCCAGTGAGCACCTAACTTTGACATGACAACATTGTGTATTTCTGGCTCTGAATTCCAAAGCACACTGTTGTCAGCCCTGCCTACTTGGTTTTTGATGGATTGCAAAGAACACGTTTGAACAGACAGCCCTGCTTCTGCTGCCCTTACATACCAGCCAATGTTATCAGCTCTGCCTGAATTCTCTCATCTTGGGACTACCGAACTCATACCCTTTTGTTATGGAGATAGTAGAGGGGGGAGGGGTTTCATAGCGGGGAGAACTGGGCAGGGTCAACAACGCTGCTTGGGATGTCGGTACAGCAGAGCCCAAGCACTTAGTCATCATGCTTCTAAGCAGCACCCACTCTCTCAGCTCGGCTTCCCTGAACTTCCTGTCTAGTACAACATCAGTCTCCAGCAGTCATCCTCTACTAGTTTGGAGACGGAGGAAGTAAGGGGTGGGGACCAGGGGAGTGGCTTGTCTTGCTGTGTCTTTGTAGAAACACACATGGCTTACTAGCACATACAAGGGTGTCCCCATAGGGCCCTACAAGGAAAAGGAGCCACCCTAAAACAAGATATCAGTGCCAGTGCTCAGAGGACCAGCTGATCCTGCAGAAAGCTAAAGCCTTAAACATCAAGGAGCAGCATCCATTGTAAGTGATTTCATCAGCATTTGAAATAGCTTTTGACTTGAATATCACTTTTTGCAATTAAAATTTCAGACAAGCGAACCAATCTGTGCGATCCAACAAACACTCCAACGATCCTAAAATCAGAGATCCTACTCAGGTTGCCTTAAAGCTATTCTGTTGCTTAAAAAACAAACAATTAAATAAAAAGACGCCTACAAAAGAATCCTCTGAATACTTCCCTCTCCAGAAAAATACATGGGCTGCCAATACCAATATCCTGTTTGGAAAGCTCATCTAATGGCTTCAATGCTTTTTGACACAGACTCAGAAAAAGTTTGCAGTTTTTGATTTTTTGGTTGCTTCACTTGCTGCATGTTCTATGTCAGTAATCAAAGAAAGTATTGAAGCCAATAGATCAGAATGGCAATCAGACAACTATCACCATCAAAAGGAGGTCGGCATTCACCAGTTTCAACATTTCTCTCGGTGCCTGCTCACACTTGTGAGGAGAGCTGCATTTTCAGCCAACCCAGGTCAGGGAGCACGGAGAACAGGATGAACAGAGACAATAGCTGGTGTCAAAAACCAGGAGATCAGTCAGCCACAGCCAGGGTCATACATGGAAATCAGGAACAACAGCAGCACACTTGGTTGTGTGCAAGGGCAGAGACTGAATAGACAAGCTGATGGTAAACAGTGAACTGGTGCTTGCATCATCACTGAGTCAGGAATTTGCCATGGGTCTTGCCAGTAGCAGAAAAATGACGATGTTTGCGGATTTGGATACAAGAGAGCGCCAAAGAGGAACAGCAGTGTCAAACACCACATAAGCCATACTGCAAGCAACTGGACAAGGAAGTGAAAGAAACCCTGACAGAAATACCATGTGGTGCTTATATTGTGCTCTCGAAGGATTTTTGTATTTTACTGAATATTGACAGGCTTTGTCAGTGTATCAGAGGAGACAAAGCAGATACAGTAGAAGCTAAAAATGTACCTAAGAACCATATGGTGCCTGCTTCAAGAAAAAAATACAATACAATTTTCATCTCTGTTCACACCAGCATTTTTAAAGTGTTTTTCAGACATATTCAGCTTCCGGTGTGTTTACTAAGAGGAGGAAAGCTGTTTCTTTTGCGGCAAAAGCGCAACAAATGCTTAAGCCTGTGACACACTCACATAGGCATGCTGAGCGTACCGAGATGAAAAATGTCATCTTCAGCCGAGCAGCCTAAAACCCGAACGTCACGATGTTAAGTCCATTTGGTTGTGACGTGGGAGCTGATTGGCTGAAGATGCAGTCTTTCATCTGGCCACGCTCAGCTCACACACTGCATGCGAACGTCTGTGCCTCGCAGTTTTGCTTTGCTCCGCACAGCTTTGCATGCAGTGTGTTATGGGCTTTAAAAAAACACCCATATTGCGCATTTACAGACATTCCCAATAAAGTCAGTGGGGCCAAAAAAAACACAGAATTCTGCCGAAATTAGCTCATGTACAGGCCAAACACGAAAGGCGTTTGGCTACGGGCGACAGAATGCTCAGATGTAAACGGGGCCATTGAAAACAATGGAAATCCTCTGAACGTTGTAGTACTTAGCACTTTCAGCTACAAAAATAAATAAATAGGTGTGACTGGAGCCTTCAGGGTGACATGTTCATATAAAAGATGGTGTTTTGCCATCTGTTCACATAATTCAGAATTCATTAAATTATAGAAACATCACTAATAAAAATAAGTCATTTTGCCAGTTCTGTATACTTTACTCACAGTTTAGCTATTTATATATGTATACACACACACACACACACACACACGTGTGATTTCACAGTTCTCAGTCACAAGTTCTATAAATACAATACAACATCCCCCAACATAATTATAATTGGCTACACAGATGTGTTAAAGGTATTTATTTCATTTGTTAACTTTTTTGACTTCATCAGAAATCACGCTCCTCACACACATTCAGCAACTAAGATGATTTCATTCAGGAGCCATTATTAAAGCATGATGAGTTAGGAAGACAAAAAGACATTTTGATCAATTTAACTCCTTAAAGTGACACTAAACTCACGAGTTAAGCCTTACAAATGAATTAAAGTACCTTAATTATTAACAAAATTGTATCTTATTTGTGTACCCCTCGGCTGTAGATCCTTAAATCATCACTGAATTCATGCTGACACTGTCCTTTCTTCTGGAGGGTGGCTACTTTTCTTCCCCATAGTCCTTGTGTGTTGTAGAGTTGCCACCGCTCCAAGTTCACTCCCGTCATGGACTACAATCTCAATACAAAATAGTAACCTAAGTGTGAGATTGTAGTCCATCACAGGAGTGAGCTTGGAGCGGTGACTACTTTACAACACACACAGGGACCAAAGGGAACAAAAGTAGCCACCCTCCAGAAGGAAGGACAGTGTCAGCACCATTTCAGAGATGATTGGAGGATCTACAGCTGAGTGATACACAAACAAGATACATTTTTGTTAAATATGGTACTTAAAGTGACACTAAACTCAGGATGCATTTAACAGCTGGCTTGTCTCATTGGAAACAATAGAGACCCAACATGATTTTCTAACCCAATTGCTTTTATTTCTGAGTCTGGCCAGCTCCAGTCTGTGTGTCTGTTATCCATAGACATGAGATTGTCATCTAATCCAGCCAAAATCAGCGCCTGGTTGCAGTAACATGGAACAGACAAATGTTCTCTCTGATCATTAAAGACATAGGACGAAAAGCACATAAAAAAAAACCCCCAAAAAGGCATACATGCTATACCTTCGCAGTTCATTCATGACCTTGAAAGCCTTTCTGGTATGGCCCGGATTCACAGTTACTGGGCAGAACTTCTCTGCGCTCTCCTTCACTTCCACAGGCTTCTGTTGGCATATTTTGGCGTTTCTGTAAGAAACAGAAAATACAAAAAAAAAAACTTTACACACGTCATGACAGTATTAAATAGTTCACACACAAAACAAAATTGGAAGTGAAAATGTAATTTTTTTATTTCCAGCAACTAAATACCCTACAAGAAGCAATGATAAATGTCAAATGGCGCATCAGCAACCAAGTACGCTAGGAGAAGCGATGGGAAAGGTCAAAGTGGCACATAAAACCAAACAACAAATCTAGTGCAGGGATTCCACTGGAAAGTGGCCTTTATATGTACAACACGCACGTTGATATTTTTTTAACCTCACAGAAAGTCAAATGACACCCTGGGACAAGAATGTAAAAGCACGAGCACAGAACAGGAAGATTAACAGATTAATGTGCGGGCAGATATTTACCACAAGGAACGGGATTTAGCTGAAGAGGGAGTGATGGAAAACATCCCTATAGTGTGCTCATGGTCACATTATCTAGCAAGTTAAAAAAGAGAACAGAAGGCTTTTTTGCTAGAATAGGGAAGGGTTAAAACCCCTATCAGGCTATTTTTTTTTTTTACAGTCTCTATTAGGGAGATTTCCCTTCACTTCCTATCTTACTGGTTCCCAATTGCCCCACAAGTAAAATTCAAAACACTGACAACATACAAAGCCAGCCCCCGACTAGATCTCCAACCTCATCTCAAAAGATCACCCAAACCACCCCCTCCGCTCCTCTCAAGACCTCCTGCTCTTCAGGTCCCTTGTCACCTCCTCCCAGGCTCGCCTCCAGGACTTCTCCCAAGTCTCCTACCCTCTGGAACTGCCTACCCCAATCTGTCCGCTTATCTCCTACTCTGTCCACCTTTAGGCGATCCTTAAAAACTCATCTCAGGGAAGTCTATCCCACCTCCACATAACTGTCCTGTTATTTCTTCCATTCGCTCATCCAACACAATTATTACCTTTCGTAGCACTTGCCCCTCCTATTAGATTGTAAGCTGTCACGAGCAGGGCCCTCCTAGCCCTATTGTACTGAAGTCGTATTGTAACTGTACCGTCTCCCCCCATTGTGTAAAGCGCTGCGCAATATAAATCCTAAATAATAATAATAATAATAATCTTACAGATGCAACAGGAAGGGAAAGAAATCTCCCCAAAGTAAAGCTGGCCATATACTAATTATTTTGTCTTTATCAGCCCCATGGGCAGAGTGAGTCTCCATTCCCACCTAGGCGTCAGTTTTTCCATGTGTAAAACACGCGTTTTTACACACGTCTTTCCCGCCCATGGTTTGCTTGTTTTTGTTCGTTGTGCACATTTGTACGGGCGTTAAGACGCGCATAGACAATGACGTGCGTTTTATTGAGCTGATCAAAATGCATTGCAGTGAAAGTGCGCAAACACGTTCAGGAATGTGCAAACCGCTTGTGTCTGCGTTTTAATGCACTTCCATTGAAGTCTATGCGGTCAAACATGCTGTAATCTGCCTGAAAGAAGATCATATACCTTTTCCAGTGTTCAGCGGTTTACAGCTTGCAACAAAACTCTCCGGTGTAAACAGGGTCCATAGAAATGAATGGGATTTCTTGTGTTGAGGGTTTTGTTGCACTTAGCTTTGAGCGTCAAAACGCCCAGGTGTGAACAGGGGCTGAGAAGAAAGAAATGCCTTTGCCAGGTTACTGTATTCAGACAGTGGTGGGTGTCAGAATACCCCAACAGTGGCTGCAGCTAATTGGCTGCAGTCACTATTCAGCCCAGGACCCCACACTGAAATTTCAGTGTGGGGGCCAAAACCGAAGCAGTGAATGGCCACTTTAGGATGAATTCCCATCTTATGACCGTTGCCACCAGAATATTTGTCCCCACTGAGTGATTTCTTCTCACAACAACTCTAAGACCCCATTCACACTGAGCTACATCAGAAAAAGCACTTTTTCAGCACTGATTTGAGCTGAGCGACATTGAGCTACAGTGCACATATCGTTGCGCTACTTTTGGCATGGACTTTGTAGCCGCTGCATTGGGCTGTATCCAATCAAGTGACACTTCTGTAGCACGACAATGCCGCGCATATTCCTGCAACATCGAGCTACACCATTGAAGTCTATTGGGTCACACTGCACGAAATCCGACGGAAAAATAGGTCATGTTCAAGCGACAAGCTTGAGCTACAAGCTACATTGAGCTGTGAGATGTGAACAGCTCCATTGAAATGCATTGGAAGAGCTACACTGAGCTTCATGTTTGAGCAATTTGTGAGCTGAAAATAGCGCTACAAATGGCTCAGTGTGAATGGGGTCTCAAATGTTGGATTTTCCATTACTACCTGTCTTTGCGACAACAGTCACCAGGTCATATAGTAAGCGTAAATCTCCCTAGACAGCAATAAAAACTTGGCAGAGGTTCCAATTTTGTCCTACTTCATAGAAAACTGAAAAATAGAAGAAAAAAAAAATCTGTCTACACTCAAAACTTTTCTGTTTAAATTTTGGATAGAATGGGGAAGTGTTAGAACCCATCATGTTATACTGCTATCCAGGACTCCGTTCAAGAGATCTCCCCTCACTTTCTATTCCGGGGACAAGCTTTCACCAGACAGGAAGTGAGAGAAAATCTGCAACAAGGAAACAAACAATAAAAACTGACAGAGGTTCCAGATTCCCTTACTTAGAATGAATTCCATGTATAGAAACGTGCTCTAAACATATTTAAATGCAGGTTTGACAGTGCCAGTGTAACATGTGGACGAGGTTACACTCCACAACACTAAACAAAATCTTTAGGCCTTGTTTAGTAGAACATTTGTATACTCTGGTTCACCCCTGTGGCCCTGTGTACACTTACTACCTCATGTTTCCACAGGCACCAATAAGAAACACGGTCCAGACTTCCAAATGACCCCCTATAATGCCACATTCTACAATTGCTCTATTTCTTCTCATGTTACACCCACTTAAAAAGGAGAACTATGGGGTCAGTGTTTTTCCCCATAGTTCTCCTTAGGGTAACGGGAGGACACAAACTAGCGTCCTCCCGTTACCCTAAGCTCAGTATACCGCGAGCTGTAGCTCATTATACACTGAGACACCGCACCTGGAGCGGATCCCGACATAGATGACGGGATCCGCCCAGCTGCGTGAGTGACAGCTGGCTCTGCCTATCTAGAGGCAGAGCCAGCTGTACCCGCCCCCTCCCCCGTCCGTTCCGCCAGTCAGCGCTGGCAGATCGGAGCGGGGAGAGGGGAATCCAGCCCCTCCCCCTGTCATGGCAGAGAGCCGTGACAGGATCGAGAGGTGAGGGAACCCGGTATGTGTTCTCTCACCTCCCGATCTACTGAGCCGACCTGTGACAGTCTCATTGTCACAGGTCGGCTAGAACTATGAGGTGAGTGGAAATCACTCATCTCATAGTTCTTCTTTAAGTATCTAGCCCATAAAATAATTACCAGAGCTGCTAGGTTAATCCTGCGCTGATTTCTGTGACACATTTCTCATTCATGTAACATACAGCAAAGCAATGTCATACATGATTACTTTATTGCTATCTAAAATGTCATCTACGCCATTAAAATAAGTCACCCATTAACCTGCTGCAGGTCGGCCTTCCTACACACTAACTGTGGCTGAGCAGTGGGGGGCATTTACATGAATGTTCCAAGAATCATGTCGGTTTCTACTTTTTTCCATCTCTCTGTAAACAGCATCCCCGTTTATAACCAAACTTTGCAGAACTGCAGGTAAATATGTTCTTAACCCTTGTAGTGGGGATACACCCAGCATGGCAAGGGCTAAACCCAATGGGGTCTATTCACAAAAGGGTGAAGATTTTGGAGAAGGGAACAATCTAGGACAACATAGCTGAAATGGAAAGTGAGCTGAATTGGAGAATTTTTCCAAATCGGCTATGTTGGCCTAGATTGTTCCCTTCTCCTGCCTTCTCCTAACTCTTCACCCTTTAGTGAATAGACCTGAATGTTTCAGTGTAATACAGAATACATAACATCACTGCTTCAATCACACACGTCAAATGATGACGACAATAGAAGAGGCTTTCCTCCTCCTATTTCCTAAACATATTACAAAGGGTGTTTCTCAGAACAGGACTATCTGGTCTTAAAGTCGTTCTAATGTCACACCATATAGTATCCTGTTAGAACATCAGCAGTGTACTAGGAATACATACTGGAGTTGGTTTTCATAATACAATCAAAGCTTACTTGAAGAAAATCCCTTATGTAGTGAACGCTGCCTTCAGTCTGCTCATCACTTTCAACAACTACCTCAGATTCCCAGTGTGCTTTGCTTCTCTTTCCCTGCTGCTTGATGGAATCTCAATATTTCAAGACTACATAGCCCTTTAACCGATTAATCGAACTCAATAATCGGCTAACTAATCGATTTTGAAAATAATCGTTAGCTGCAGCTCTACCATAAAGCATCACTTCCAGCAATCAATGATGTTACATTGTGAGAAGTTCAAATACAAATCCTATGGGTAAAACAATCCTTCATTTTTTTTTAGCTGTTTAATTGGAGTTCAGTCTCAGTCCCCGTTCACATTGAGCAGATTACCGCTCTAAAAATCACACATATTGCCTCGCGATATCTCGCACGTCCAATGATATTCAATAGAGCTATTCAATTCTACAGCTCAATGTCGCCTGTCGCTCGTGCAGGACCCTTTTTGCGCGGATGTCGCGCGATTTTGCTCGTATTTTCAAGCGGCCCAATACAAAAGGTTGCGCGATCGTAGTGTAAAAGATCGCGTGGAAATCCGCACGAGTTGCATGTCGCTCAGTGTGAATGGGGTGTCAAAGTGGACCCCGCCCTAATACTTATTTCCAGATAAGCCCATCTAATTATAATTACTAGCCCGGTTTGTTTGTCTTTTCCACATACGAATACAATTCTTGTCCACATCCTATAGTTCCTTGCTGCCATTTTAACTCAGAGACCTCATCGGTGGCCAAGTTCTTCTTACAGGTTTTTGCTTCCCTGAGATCTTGTAATATTTTGATCTCACAGATCTCAG